AATAGGTGAAAGGTAACTAAAGGAAAATGATTTCCCCATTGTTTAGCTTGAATTAACTAGAGTGGTTATGTACCCTGCAGATAAAATTCATGGCTCAGTCTAACAAAAATACACAGTCACCTAAAGGCTTTTACTGAGAGGAAAGAGTGAAAGCAATGGCACCCATTTATAGGTCCTCCTACAACTTTGCTGCTTCTGTGGTAACATGTTTCTCATGTTGGATGATAATAACTTACAAAATCATTTGAGGTGGACACAACACCATAGCGCATTTTGCATTGATTTCAGCTTTTCACCTTTTCTTGTCATAGGTTTCCACTGATAATCTGGGGGTTAATCCAAGAGAAGACATTGAAATATTAAAAGCTGACTACACAGTGCACACTTAAAAGGCAATGCAGCGGTAGCCAATGAGCTCCATATATGTATATACACATTCTTAACACCAGGTGTTCTTCAGTTTTATTATTGAAGTTACTTAGACAATATTCCCACTCTCTTAATGTAAATTTCTTAGGCTTACTTCATCACTCAATGCAATTTTTATTTTATCTCATGTTATATATAAATTAAAAAACAAACAAACAAACAACAACAAACCAAAATAACACGTTCACCATACAGCCAAGCCCATATAAGCAAAAGTACCATTACAGTTGTTATACTCTGTTGAGTACAGTGATGCTTGACAAAATGTCATCTCATTATAGTTCTGAGAGACACTTGGAAAAACCAAATCCCAACCTTTTGTGACAAGGAACTGTAAATATTTTAAGCAAACCATCCCTATTTCCAAAGAGAAACAAACACAGACAAGATAGCAACTAGATTCACTAGCAATCCAGCCTTATTTAACAGTTTTAAAACTGTTTCAAACTCATGCTTTTAAAGATCCAACTCAGCTTTGATTCAGCACAAGTACTTGACTTCAGTTGTTTATATCCTCATGCATTAAATTTGGCAAGACCTTTTTGGAATTTCAACCAGATACATCACACCTAATACACATACACTGGGAGAACTGACATGAGGTACTCTGTGAAAGGCTTTACATTTTGGAATTCCACCCCCCCCCACCCCATGTCCAAATGGAGCATAACATTGTTAGTGTTCTACTTACACTGCAAATCTTAATTACCGTTTTTCCTCCTTTTCAGAAAAATTAGGATGTATGATTAAGACTAATACTGTATATATACATTATTGGGATAAGCACTAACCATGCCTTAGTTATAAGGAATTTAGCACAGTATATGCAAAAAATGGATAAGCAAAATAAGCACTAAAGGCTTTGAAAAGCATATTTAAAATTTGCTTTTAGCAGGAGGAGTGTTTTATATTGTCTTCGAATTCCAGAACAGAAATTGGTATTAATGCTGACTACTAATAACAACTAATTATTTTTTTTAAACATTAGGCTATTTTGTTAAATTTTGAATGAACTAAGGAACTTTTACATATATAACGTTAGAGACCAGGAAAAATAACTTCTATCAATAACTTAAATTAACCAGAGCAATAGATGCACAAGGACAGGAGACAACATAATTGCATATGGTTGTGCATTTTTTTCAGAGCTTTTTGCCCCGCTAATAAGTACAGCAGAGCTGTCAAATTTACCTCCACAAAGACATGAATGACTCCAAATCAAACAAGAAGCTATCAGAGAAGTATTGTTTGACACTGTCTGCAGGGCTCTTTGAAAAGCTAAGCTTCACTGATTGCTACAATCTTCATTTTCATGAGATTCAACCCTTTTCTGAAAACCTCGAGGTGTTAATGCTGCTAACTTACCTGTCTTAAAAATCATATATTCTGCTTTTCCTTCTGAAGTACCATGTGAAAGGTTTTGTGGAGTTAAAAGTTGAAAAATATCTAAAGAAACCATACAGAGTACGCAAATGCAGGGTGCCAGGAATTGATATCAGCACCTCAGAGAAGCAATGATAAATACTGCCGTGAGCCAAATAGTTGTCACCAATAACACTCAAAATCAAAAATTTAACATTTTTTTATATGTACACTTAGACATCTTGCTATACAACAATGTAAGTCAGTTAAATTTATGAACTCAGTATTTGAGATATTGGTTTCACTCATTAACTACTGGAAAAGCGAGCAGCAGTTCTTTTCACTGTTTTGCTCCTTAGATGGGAGCCATTTGCATTTCTAGCATATCGTACAAATTCTGAGAACAATACTTTCTAAGACGCAGAATATTTTCAGAAGAAAACATACAGAATATAAGGTGACATGGGGATTTGAGAGTAGAGATCAACTGGTTTTAACATTTTGGTTTTCTTTCTGACAATCAGGAAAGAGGGAACACACCCTGTAATCCAACACCACCACTTGCAGATATCCATCATTAGCAAGTTGTGCATGTCTTTCCTTCCCCCACTTCTTTTACTTTTCAGAAGAACAAACATCATTGTGGTCTATTCCATTAAGTGATCCTGTATTTAGTTGTTATCTAATACACTATACCCGGGCTGCAGCGGTGAGAGTGCTGCATCCTAACCACTAGACCACCAGGGGATCCCGGTCAGGGAAAAAGACCCCCGGGCAGATGGAGCTCGTCAGCCCTGTGAGGCAATCCATCTAAGAGAAGGTCACTCTAAACAAACCTACGTCCTGGGGACCTCACTGCCACTGTCCAAGCTTGCTCGGCCCCGGCAGATGAACCTCAGGATTAAAGGGTGGGCTCAGTTCAGCGCACGCTGTGTCTCACCTAAAAAAGGGTTAACGACCTTTCCCAAATCTTCGCTCGCGAAGACTGGCCATACTATACTAATATACTATATCAGTTGGGTTTGGGTTTTAACACAAAGGGAACTTTTTGTGTCTGTTACAACAAAGTTAACATCAGGTGCTTGCTTCTGTCAAGAAACTACTTCCCAAGGGGCCCAAGAAGTTTTTGCAAAAAAGTCAGAGACATTAATACATTTTTAATTTCTAACCAGTACTACTTGTTTCTAAAAAGGAGCAGTATTCAGAATGCAAAAGCCACCAGATGCTTTCCCCACATGTCTCTTATTAACAGTAACCTCTGAATTTTAACGATCATGAGTTCTTAGATATTGCTGTAATAAAACCAGATACTGGTGTAAAGGGGCTCTATTGATAAAGAGGCTTCATTTTACTTCTTAATCATCAGGGTAAAGCTGAAAAAAGGCTATGGCTAGACCACAGAGAATTTGGCCCACTAGCCCTGATAACATATGCTGAGCCAAAGCAAAAGAAAATAATTAAAACCACACAATTAAAATGGATGAAATAGAAATCGCTAGTTCTAATCCAATTTGCTGAATGAAAGGCTAAAACCTCTTCTATCAGGTGCACACTATGAGCAAATTTCTCCGTTTTCAGACTTGGTACATCAAAACCTACTACCAAAACCATTTGGCAACGCACTCTGCTTTCCAGAAAACAGCTTCTAACTTTTTTCCTTACTAATGAATTCATAAAGTAGAAAAGCATTTTTGCCTGAAAACAGACAGAAAGAAAAAGCTGAAATAGCAATGACTAACTAGATAGTCTCTATTTTTTTTTCCTCTCTGTTATAAAGAAAAAGCACTTACCTACTAAACACTTGTCCTCCTAAAAACTCTTACTGTAATGATCTTCAACACACCTCGGACAAAAGAAATGCTTGGCCACCCTTTTCTTTTTATATAAATTAAAGCAATTGCTGGCCCAATTGCAGTTTGAACATAATTAGTTCTCATTTATTATCTATCACACTTTCAGCTGTGCCACTTATTGTACCCAGGATCTTCTACTTAGCTAAATTGCCATGCTCTCATAGACCCTGACCCTTACAGAGAGAGGAATCAGCCTGTAACCTAGAAACAGGATTTAAGGCAGGACTTAAGCAAAATATGGGCACAGAGTCCAATGCTGAAATCCAAAAGGGGCTACATGGTGCTTCCAAACCCTGGAGTTGTGGCGCTTTCCTTTGTGATAGTTAACACCCCAGCCCTGGAGCTGCAAGCTCACAGGCTCAGCCAGGAGTTTTACTTTAAAATATATATAGGGTTCTTTAATACCTCGAGATAGCGTCAAGACAATAAGCCACAAACTCGTCCCTAAGAGGGATTTTTACTGATAATTTAGGGGAGAAAATAAGGGAACTTGGCAAAAGTTCAAAAGGGCATCACACAATCTAGAGGAAACATTTCACCACAGTACTGACCCAGCACATACCAATCCACACTACCCAGTTAAAATCCAATTCCTTCAGCTTTAAGCTACCCAAAGCATCAAAAAGGAGCAAAGAAAGAGAAAAAGAGGGAGCAAGAAAAGAGAGGAAGGAGAAAGAGGGAAAGGCAGATTGTGTAGCTACCATTGGAACCTCGTGGAAGCCCAGCTCTCACCTGTCCAGATGGCAGGGCCGCGACACGAGGCGAACACATTCCTTTGGTTTTGTCCACTCTGGTTCTTGTGGCCAACCCGCCCGGGCAGGGCCTCTGACCCACCGGCCATGAGGGGATTCCCGAACGGCGTGAGGGGCGGTGTCCTCGCTGTCCTGCCAATCTGAGCTGCACTCCGGGAGCTGAGGGATTGGCAAGTGTGTGCGAGCCGCCTTTGACCGACAGAGGGACACGGGGCCACCTCAGGGAGGTTTGAGCTGTCCCTTCCCCCCCTCAGAGAGACAGACACACCAGACACACATACAGACACACGCACACAGACACACACAACTCATACACACACAAACACACAGACACAGAGACACACAGAGACACACACAACTCATACACACACAAACACACAGACAGAGATACACACAGAGACACACACAACTCATACACACACAAACACACAGACACACACACGTACTCATACACACACAAACACACAGACACACAAACATACCACAGACACACACACACAGACACACACACACACACAAGTATCTAGACCTGAACACTGAGAAGAGAAGCACAGACAAGGAACTGCAGTATTTGCATGTCTTTATTAAATGTAGAAGACAACAACTGATTTATCAAAAAAGTTTAATATATATGGCATTACATACAAAAACCATTGAGTCCCCACTGTACACAGTGGTGTTAATCTAAGCTGGTATGAATGTGCAACATAGATTTTATACAATTTTGAGCAAAAGATTTGGCAAAATTTTACCTTTTTTTGGCAGCCAACTTACAGAAGTAGTATTGTAAAAGAAAAATTACAGAATCACAGAAGATGGTAATTTCTAGCACAATGATCACACTAATACAGCACTAAGATACGCTTGCTTCTCTTGTGCTTGGCCTAGATATAAAACTAAATAAAAATAAAAGTTTTTGCTAGCTGTACACAAATAAAAATGCCTCAAGTGCTCTTCTCCAATTTGGTGCAGCTCTGCTTTGCAAAGCTGTACAGTTTTCAGCATCCCAGTGGAGACCACATTCTGCCAAGTTCTCACATGTTAGGATTTTTTTATATGCGCAGCCATCTCCTGCTTATGGAGTTGGTTGAGGCTGCAAAGGTTTTCCTGGGGGAAAAAAGGTTTAGAGAGCAGGGCCAAGAAAATCACTGCATTTGCTTTGTAAGCTCTGAAATCTTCACCACTTTTTCTGATCAAACATTTCTTCAGTCCTGATTTCAGTCAGTCCCACAATCTTCTCAAACTTTTGGCACCAAAAAAACTTCTTAGTGATGAAGAATACTGCAACTAAGATATCACATACATATGCTGCATCTGCAAAAGCCAAACAATCAAACAATTATTTGCCTTGTTTTCCTCCCAGATGTTGGTATTTTTTTAGGTAAAATGTTCTGGAGTTAACAATCTTTTTGTTTAGCTTACACTGCATTTCTTAAAATTTGTATGTCAGCTCTAACTGGGGTGGATTAAGGGCAAAACCACTTTCTTAGCAGACAACTGTAGCCATGACAATGAATACAGAATACCAGTAGCATTTTTTTTCCCTTTTACTTGAAAATGGCAGTATTTAAATGTGGTTATTCAATAATCATTGTGTTGTATATGTGGTTACATTCAGGGTAATGATCTGGAAAAGCAATGTTTCTAACTGGGTTTTCCTGACAAGAAGCTTTTGCTGCAAAACAGGCAATTAATCTTCAAATAGACCATATAAAAAAACAGGTGTTCAGTGACATACAGATTGGTGGCATTGGTATTGAAACATCTTGTTTCATAACATGTTGGTACCACTATGGAGAAAAGAGAATTCATCTGCAGTTCTCCATCCAAAGCAGACCAACACCTTTATAAATAACTTCTGCTTCTCAAGACAACTCTTCATGTATCATGAAGATTCTAACATTAGAATCTCTTCATCTGAATGGAAAATGCAGCCTAAAATTAGTTACAAACCATCTGCATCTGTGAGCTGTCATACAGAACTTCAAAATCTGTATCGCTACTTTTTGTGCCTGAAATAGAATAAAATAAAGGAACAACATCTTTATGTATGAAATCTGTGTTAAGTGACTCAAGAGGTTAACTTGCTGCTTAAGCTATATTCTGCTGTCTAAGAACTATTATCTCTCGGTAGTTCTGTTCTCTACTTAATCACTTATTTTCACATATGACAAAGTTATGTTTCAGCCTGATGAATGAGATCATCACATTGGCAAATGCACAGCTACTGCATTCAGAGACAGTTGGTAAGTGAATCAAAATAAGTTCATTAGAAAAAAGTTTTGCAGTGGTCAGAGTCTAATGGCTTAACAACTGATTTGGCTTTTTCAGGGAAACAGAGACAAGGACTATTACAGTTCATAGGAAAAAGAATCCAATTGCCCGAGAAGGGACTAAAATCATCAAGACCTGAATGTGAACCTGAATACAAACTGCTAAGATGTGCGTAGTGAGGAGCAAAGGAAGTTTCTGTGTACTTAGGCATTTTAAGGAATCTCCCTTTGTTGATGGGAGAGCCTTGAATTGATGATCCATTGTATTCCAAAGGCCAAACCAACTTCTCAGATGCTAAAAAACTGGCATTGCACTATTCAGGTTGGTAAAGCTTTGCCAATACACAGCAACAAGGAGAACGCTTCCTATTCTAGTAAGGAAAATATGTTCCTTTCCTATTTGCTGCTTTGGTTTCTTTTCAGAAAAAAAAGTGCAGACGTAGGCTTTTTTCAGAATAGTAAACTTGCCCAATTAAATTATGTCATGCTCTACATTCTTTTTTGTAACCTAAGTGTGTTTTTTCCTGTCAAAAGGGGTCAGCAGAAATCAACGCATCAGGTGCAAGGTCTGATGGCCTTTTGCAAATTTCAGAATGTTATTAAAATTTATTTTTAAAAGGTTAAGATTTTTTCTTCCGCTTTCCCTATTGAAATAACGGAATAAGCCAAAATGTCACTCTCTGATAGAAGTGTTGCCAAGTTCACAGTATTAGAGAACACACTGTCCAAGCTTTGACATCTAATCAACATGACTAATATACTTAAATACAAAGAAAAAATAACGGATTTTAAGAATTAGCTGTCCTCTGGGGATATGTGCAGATTACATTGTGTCAAATAAGGAATAAAAACCTTGGAAGTTACCCTCATGATAAAAAGGACTAGTTGTAGTTCTTAATATGTTTGACACTGGCTGGAGGTTTTTAAAAATGCATATTCACTAGAAGTCTTGCTTTCTAAAACCACCTTACAATCTGGTCGCTATTCAACACAAGAGCAGCTTTATGCCTTGTGTTTTATTAAATTTATGCCTATCTTTTAAATGATAGATGTTCAAACAGATTTGCACAGTACAGTAACTGTGTTCACACAAACTGCCTATCAGTTCAAGACTTCAGTCTGAGTGATTTCCAATGCAGTCTGTTCCAGACCAAACAGTTTAAGGGGAGAAATGTCTCTTATATCACAGGTGATTAATGTTGTTTTCTGAAGTATTTCTCACCTGTACAGATATCCACATGCTCAACTTGTAGGCAAACTTTTTCTGCAGTACATTTGGGAGGGAGTTCAACAAATAAAGCTTTTTTTCAGTGCATGGTGTTAGACATGAATAAGCCTGGTATTTCATATATGAAAATTCAGAACTGGGCTTATGGTCCAACTTAAGCTTCAAAACACCAGGGTATATATATTAAGTAAACCTTCCCAGCCAAAAGTTATATTTTTCATTCTAATGAGATATCAATTTGCTTCCAAGGATGTTTACAATATTTTTTCAAAATAACTTTACAGTGATTGTTTCAAAAATACACAGAACTCTGTCTTAAATGCCATGCCCATGCCTACACCTGGAAAATGAAAATACAATGTCTCAGTCTGCGTTTGGAAGTGTCACTTCCCTACTCAGAGAACTCAGAGAATTTAGGTAGAGCTGTTTTTCCATTTACTCAAAAGATAAAATTAACCATAAGAAACAGGAATTAACCTAGATATAAAAATGTGAAAAAAGAAACATGCACTTGACTTTTTTAGGGCTAGAAAATGTCTTTTCCTATAAAGTTACCCAGATATTTAGAGTCAGACAAAGGGCGTGCAATGGTGGACTTGCTCTAGTACAAATAAAATCACTCCATTAGTTCTAGTTCTACTGCTTTATGTAACCATTTGATCCACTTCAGTAGTTGTAATGGTCTGATGGGACAAGACTCTGAAGTAGCTTAAAAATCCCCTTACTTTGTCAAGTCACTCTGGAGTTCACTCTTGTACAACTTCACTCAAACCCGCTCCATGTTATCTAGTGAGAGAGTCAGAACAATTCAAGACTCTTAAAGAAATGCCTTATTTCTTCAAACTGACTGTCTCAGTCTGGAGTAAAATCCTCTTTGCCTTGAATACTGAATTTTATAAACTCTATGTCCACATTTACACAGTCCTTTGCTGATTCCAAGGAGCACCATGGTCCAATCTTGTGATCTTTTGTTATTACAGGAACCCGTTATATGTTAAATAATTAAAACAATTTCTACTTGAAGACACACAGGTTAAGAGGAGGAACTACAGGGAAGAGGCAGTAGAATTGATCAGACTGTCTCTTCCCTTTCTTCTCTGCAGAAAGAGCAGAGATTTTCCCCTAGAGATTTGCTAAAATCCCTGAAGTTACAGATTAAAGGTTATATTTTTACAAGTGTTAGGTATTTAAAGATGCAGAAAAATGCCACATAAGCACATCTGAAAATAACACTGAAAGTCTATCTGCAAATTCAGATGCTTTTTAAAATATAATAAAAAATGTTGTTATCATACTTAAGCACATAAATAAAAGTACATGATTTTCAGACATGTTGGTCTATTATGATTCCTACTGATCATAGTCAAGTATTTAAAATAATGTGCTGATAACACAAGCACTGCTCTTTATTGGAATGTATTGATTCCTTTTACATCTCTGCAGACTTGGGTGGAATTACACTGTTGGACTTTGTACTGGAAGTGTATCACAGTCATGCAAAGCATAGGGTTTTATTACATGACAGTTCCAGTTCTCTAGCACAACAAACTCACCTACTGACACTTCTTCTATGTATCTGTGGAAAACAGACTGAAAAGAGGCACAATGACTTGCAAAAAAAAATTTTTTTGACTGTTTTCAGTTATATTTTTAAATTGGAAGTAAAATTCTCAATAGGATTCTCAGTATCTTTTCCAGGATCTTATGGTGCTAGGATATATACAAGGAAAAGACTTTTTTTACTTCTAATGACACCTAAACTTACCAGGTTCTCAACAAGATGAGGTTTTTATGAACAGTGCTCACCCTTCAGAAACGCTGCTTTTTCAAGACAAAAACCACAAACACCCAACCAGTAAATTACATTTTGAACTAGCTAATCATTTTGAACTAAAGGCAACACTTTTCAATTCAGCATTTCCATTATGGAAGTCAGTTATGCTATTTAACAAAGCTGTAGCGAGCCAGCTCTATGTGCCTGTTCTCTTCCGAGGACAGAGCTGTGAGTTTGGAAGTCACAAGGAGGTGCTCTGCTTGCAAGGAGATTAAATCACACAGTTTCTGGTACACTGGACATTGAATATCTACAATATCTGTCAGTTTGCAATAATATGAATGACAATAATACAACAATTAAGTTTAAAATATCTTAAAATAACTGGATTAAAGGACTGGAAGACTTGTGCTTTTCCAGAGTTCTTTTTCTATTTAATAAATAAAAAAAAAAGGTAATTTTAGTGTTGTCAGCAATACTTTTGGTGGGGAAGAATCAAAAGGAAAAAAAGCAATTTCTGGTGAAAGCAGAAGCTGTATTATTTTAGTGCTGCCCCTCTCTGTGTTAAACTAATATTTTGTAATTACTAGCAAATGGTATCTGAATTTATGCATGTGTACATTCAAGGCTCCTGCTAGTTTTTGTATAGTCATTTTAAAGAACAAGCCCCAGTATTTGATAATGAGAGCATTGTCTCAAAAGAGACACCCTCCCCAGGAGGCACTGCCCAGATCTTGCTTGGTGCTGCTCGAAGCAGAGCTGATACTGTGACAAGAAAAACAATTTCAATTGCTCTAATCTTGCAGAGCCCTGTGCCTTTTGATCTTCTCTTTGTTCCCTCTTTGTGAAGCACAACTTACACCGCCTGCAGTTTATTGAGTTCACGGTTTACTTATCGCAGCTGAGCAATAACATAGCTTAATATAAAGTTCCCCTGCAACTATTGGACTACAATTTTTCTTGCTTCTAAAGACAGCGTCTGCACTTTTTCTATCCATTCCTGCATTTCATTCAGTCTGAATGTCACATCATCTGTTTA